TTCTTTGCTTTCAGCTGTATCTAGGACACAAGAAGAAGGTTAAATAACAGTTGCACTCACACATTATGCTCAATCCGGTTGTTTATTAACTCATTTTCTGGGTTCTCACAATATAGTGAAGCCTTGGTTTAATGCAGGGTTCCTCAACCTCAGCAACTTTAAGATGGGTGGACTTCAACTCCAAGAATTCCCCAGCCAGCCATGCTGGCTGGGGAATTCTGGGAGTTGAAGTCCACCATCTTAAAGTTGCTGAGGTTGAGGAACCCTGCATTAAACCAAGGCTTCACTATATTGTGAGAACCCAGAAAATGAGTTAATAAACAACCGGATTGAGCATAATGTGTGAGTGCAACTGTTATTTAACCTTCTTCTTGTGTCCTAGATACAGCTGAAAGCAAAGAAAATAAGACAATAACTTTGTTTTCTTAGGCTCAGGGCTAAAGACGGACCTGCGCGTGGCAAGCTTGAGTCAAAATCATACTTTCTAGCTATTCTGACAGCATCTGGAGACCACCTCGAGGCCTATGGAAGTTCCTTTCTTTTGATATCCACAATTTTGGTGGAAGACCACCAAAGGCTGTCCAGAGAGTAGAAGATCTCGGAAAGGGACTGCCAACGTGGATGGCAAACAGTATAATTTGCTGCCAACTCGAAGGGTGAGAGAAGTTGCTAAGACAAGATGGCGGAGAATAAGGACCTTTCGGTCGTAGCAAAGTTAGCAGCTCCCACGCTGAAATTTTCCCAGTGGCGACGCGTGCCTGTGAAGCCTCATGCCAAGAGGAACGCTGTGCCATCTCCGAATGAAGAGATCCGCAGGGAGCGCCAAGGATCCAGCAGAATCACCCGTGGCCCGGGATCAAACCGCGGCTCACCGCCTGAGCAACGACCGGCGACCAGGAACTCGCATGCTTTGGGCGTGTCGTGTCGTGTCGTGTCGTGTCAACAAACCAGGATCCGAAGCAAGAACTACGCCTGGTCGCGAGGAGAGTGCGAAGAAGCGGGGAACGCACGAGCCAGGCGGGGGGCGGGACCGCAGAGGGTGGCGACGGATACTCAGGGACAGGAGATGCACCTCTGAGGAGCCGCAGCCCGGCGGGGATGGCAGACCGGCCCCTCCAGACCCCGGGCCAGGCGCCCCGCTGCCACCGTGAGGCGAAGCGGCGGCGCATTTCGGGATTCCGACACCGCCCGTCTGCATCTGGGAGGAGGAA